AGTGTACCCCATACGCGAGATCTGCATACTGATGATTTTCATGATGAATATTCATTTCTAATATTCAATGACGAACATCCCGTTCCAGATAGCTCAATGGACAGCGTGTCTGATCCGTGGTACATCGTGGTCATTCCAGGATGTAAACTCGTTCTTACAATTAAATAAATACAACATTAGTATATTAGGCCTATTTTATATGATATTTTAATCGCGTGCATGCGACGTAAAACTTAATATATTGCCAAATATGTTGATTTCAATTATTTCCATGGAATAGCAAATTTAGTATTTTTTGGCAAAATTTTAATTCATTATCAGTATCAGTGTGTTTAAATTTCCGCGAATTAACATTATGGCATTTTACGTCTGTCAAATAACTGCCAAATAAATACGTGGAATCATTAATTACTAAGGACCTAGCGTAGAATTGGAAATTACTCCAAATAAACAAATGTCCATATTCGGTAACAGGATAATAGTATATTTGGTTATTGATGAAATAGTACGGCGCCACCAGACGGTCTTGGTTAGCAAGCGCGTCATGTTTCTCTCATGAAGTTGACGCTGATTCTGCACAAAGGAAGCCGCTCATCCCGCCATTGGATGGCGGCACATCGTGTATGTGGTGTTTACAAATGACGTGCAGATGATCCGTGGTACATCGTGACCAATAATAAATTGATTGGTTGTCCAACTGTGAGCGTGTCTTTTATTTCTGTGCTAAATGTACAACACCAAAGTCCCGCCATTTATTTTACATGGTTGTTCGATCATAGTCGTCTGCACCAGTATTGCGAGTTCTATGTTTGGTTTACTATGTTGGTCGCTCGACACCATATTCACCGTCTCTCTCTCGGTACCGACGCGCAATACGGCGTCCTGGGGAGGAAATCTACTCACCACGCCACGCCACCTCGATACCTCTCCTTCCCGGAACATGCTTTCCAATACGAGACTGTTTTTTCTATATGTTATGTTAAAAAAACCATGGAAATCAAGCATTTCTGACATTCCGGAACCGGATCTCAGTTCTGTATGGACGGATTTTTGTTTAAACTTGGTACAAACATCAGACATCATGGAACCTGGATGCAAGTCATTTTGTTTTTTAGATCAGATAAATAGCTGTCTTGTTTAAACAAAGTTGATTCCAGGGCTACATCTCGGAAATTCCCTGACGAAACATATTCAAACTTTAGATATGCACATGTATTCATTTAACAATTCTTTTCAAGATGGCCGAATGACGGCCATTTTAATGTCAACTAATCTTCAAAATCAAGCATTTCTGCCAGTCCATAGCCGGATTTCGTGCAAACTTTGTACGAGCATTTGACAATGTGAGATGTCCCCGATGCACAGGTGACGTTAAACGTGATATGTACATCGAACCTTATGGGACATTCATGCACTTCAGTTTGTTTGCGATATCCGCCTCAAAATGGCCGACCGGTAGCCATTTTGTTTTAGTGAATGTAGTTTTGGAACCATATTTAATATATTTATTAAAGTTGAGGACTCACGGGGACTATGTAATTCAATTGCTTGGTATAATACCCAGTAAGGTAACAGATAAAGTAAAGATAAACTGGTATACAACCACTTTACCAAACCAAGTGAACTTCATAGCTAACATGTTACATGCGAACACATAAAGATAGAGATTTCCCGAAATATCAATCTGTATTCAAAATGGCAGTCTTATAAATCAGTTCGGCGACCATTTTTGCTTTGATTCTTGCGCTGACAGGGCAAGTTCCCATTTAAATGAAGTTCCCGGTAATTTGACTTGTCTGTTTGACCATGGAGGTAATAGGAAAATTACCTCCATGGTTTGACATTATGTTTACAAAAATATTCCTAGAGTTTCGATCTACACAAGTTCTCCAAGCTGAATTACATTTACCTGTCCCACACTGATATTTACACATTACTTAATTTCTGAATTGATTTTGTCAAATTGCGTTTCCAAAGTTCCTTTAAAAACGCATTACTAGTATGTATCTCATCTGTGGTATTTTGAAAAAAAAACATACTTTGCAGTGGTTCTAGCGTGAAACACTACAATTATTATTTAAGTGATTATACATTGCTATGGAAACAAAAGTATTCCGTAATAAGCCATTTCGCAGTGTAGCTATCTCTTAATGTATTCAGCGTGGGCCACTCCGTGCAATGAAACATCTGACACACCCTCCACGCTGAAAATACCTAGCAGATAGGAGAGTGTTTATTACGAGTGGCATATAATAATACACGACGCCTTGTATGAAAACACGTTTTTTAAAATCTTCAGTAAGTTTATTGTAATATAACCAAAAGAACAATAATTAGAATAAAAATTGCTCGTAGATGAGCATTCTCGCATATAAAACGCGCATCGAATGGATTATGATTGTCAACAATTGAAGCCTCGAGGAAATAATTTAAGCCGAATGGAATTGATTGCGTTCAAAGTCGTGCCTCTCAATGGCATTTTCCAGTGTGTATTTTAAGAAGACCTTGTCGATGCAAGCCAGTTAAGAGAGAGAATTCCGCTGGATAATCATGGTATTTATTGTACGTGGACCAAGCGATGTCATCGGTATAATGCATTGGAAGTGGGTTGCCCTCGTAATTTATTGGAAATGGCCAGAATCCATATAAATGTATTTCCTCACACAATGAAAAACCAATACTCAAAAGGGTCATTCCAGTTGAAAGACCTCTCTTAGTTAAGCCCCAGAAACTCTGGATTTTATGTGAGTGTTCCGCATTGAATAATAAAACTTTCAGAGAAGTCCTTTCTTTCAAGAGTTCGGCGACCTGGAAAGCCAAATTACTAACTTTGCTGTTAGGAATCCACAAAAGATAACCTTTATATTCTTCCAAGTCCTTTAACAATTTAGTAGTATTCAAATTAGTAAAATTTCTCACATATTTTTCATTTTTGTAAACTCTGTATCTGGTCATCAAAGACTGGGATATGCTTGTAAAACTGGCTTTACTTCCAGCGTCGGCCGTAAACCCTCTGATTGGTTGCAAGTTTGACCTCATGACAAAATCAAATCGGTCAATTTCATCACCACATCCACTATTTCGTAAAATACCACCATTTCCTACAATAGCACACGTTTTAAATGCAGTTTTTGAAGAGAAGGCTGAGGTCTTTGGCAACAATTGCAGATGCGATTGGTTGATGAGTATGAATTTGTGGGACATTGTATCATAATACTTTGTGCCAATGTGAGTGTTTTCTTGAGTACATATAAAATCAGTTTTATTTAAATGACGGTTAAGTTTGTTTCTTATCGCCATAGTTGCCGATATATTTCGATTCCAGTTCTGTAGTTTCGAAACTGTGTCTTTTAAATCTTGTTGAAGATTCGCTTGATTTACTGTCGGTTTCCGTTTTCGAACTATCTTCTTTTTCACATAGACAATTCGGCTTTTCTTTTTTGGTTTAGGCTTTGGTTTCGGTTTAGATTTCACTGTGTTTTTATTGTTGTTGTTGATTGGCGCCTTTTTGACAACAACGGCATGTACACCGGCCTTGGATACCTTGTCGGATACTTTTGAGCTGTTGCTTTTGACTAGACTTGCGTTGAAAGCAGCTGTGACGTTCGTAAAGCTTGTTAATTCTTTGCTATTGTCGGCTGGTGTAGAAGTATTACCTAGTATTTTCTGTTCATGGGTAAAATTATCTGGGTCGTGGTGTAACAGTTTTGATAAATTGTCATATCGCAGTATAACTTCTGTGTTCACGAACATGGCATTGATATTATTATTCCTTTCCGCTGCAATATGACTGCCCTCTACGTAACACCTTTTACCACGGGGAAGTAGGCGAAAATTTGCATATACGCTGAATACCGTACACAGAAAGCAAACCAATACAAACAAAATGAGCGGCTTCCCAAAGTCAGCACAGCAACGAGTTCGCTTCATAGTCCACGGATATGGCGACGTTACAGGATTTATCAACAATCTGCAAAAAAGGAATAAAACTGAAATATTACATTATTGTTGTACCTGTTACTAAAAGTAGTGAGTCGTGGTTGTTTATAGTGGTTGTGTAAACTACTATGTATGTGTCACTAAAGGTTTTCCTGAGTATGAAAAGCATGTTATGACATTGACAATCGGGGTGATACCATTGCATTGATATAACTGGGATCTTTGGATTATTATTTAAAGCGCGGGCGGGGGGGGGGGTCGTCACCTGCGCACGCGCGGGAATTGAGTCCCAAGCGACGATACAACACATGGTAAAACGCAAAGGCTCATGGGTAGACGTTTGTTTGTAAACAATGACACGCTATGGCCATTTGACGCATTCGCAGGTGACGACTTTCCCGCTTTAATTGTAGATACATGTCATACTGTGGTCGCAGTAATTTAAAACAAGGAAGAGTCATGGCAAGTACTTTTTACCCAACAATGGGCGCAAATCCATATCATCAATTATATCACATACAAGTTTCAAGACCACAATAGTAGTAAATTTGACTGAATTCGATCTGACTAGACCTCTGACGTATATATATATAATATACTTAGTAGTAGTATAACCTCAATCGACATATCGTACTGATATGCGTTTACCGGGTCACGTGGTACTCATCATCCCTGGTATCATGCAGTCGGGCGTTTAGAAATTCGGGATTTCTTACAAACTTATTTACACTTTATGCATTGGTCACGGCGTATAACTAATATTATAAAAATAGGGACTTGTTCCTAGCCCGTCTTTTAGCCGACGTTATTTAGTACTGTGGGGGGGGGGGGCACTAGAGATGTAGAAGGTTTATATAAATAAGGGAACGTAACATCACCGAATACTAGTATATTTATATACAAGTACATAGTAATAAAAATGCAATTATATATAATTTGTTGAGATAGAGATATGTTCTTGTCACAGGTAACTTGAACATGTAAATCATTATTCGATAATTAGACAAACTGACGTACATGAAACGGTATGCCCATGTACACATGAAAGTCAAAAACACTTTCCACAAATATTCACAGTGTTCTTTACGTAGTGACGTGGATTGACACAGGTGAGAAACTCACATAACAAAGAATGAGGATGTAGGTACCACAGTATTGAGGGACTGTGGTGGGTACCATCAACACAAGTGTTTGCGAACAAACATAAAGTAATATTTGATTTGGCTGAAGGTCATAAATTAACCAAGAAAATATGTACAGATTTATTTTGAACTTTCAAAAAAGTGGCACACGTTTCATTGGCATATAGAATATAGCATTGGCCAAATACATACACAAATAATGTGACTATAAGTCAGCAACACCATGGCAACCATGCAGCTAAAATGTGTGTCATGATACCATCATATTTTTCCCTTCAATTTTGGCAGTATTTCAAATTGTAATCACCTGTATTCGTTTATAGTGTATTAAGCTTATACTTTCGTTAAAGCCAAGGCATAAAAACTGTACATTTATCAATGCCTTCTTGATGAAGTTGTGAGCTAATATTGTAGCCTGATATTGTAGGCAATTGACATCATGCTCCAGACACGGGAAAACATTGTCGTGTATATAGATATACAAATACATATGCAAATACTATAGTATATTACATGCACTCTTACACTTTTTTAGATTTTTAATTGCGATGTCATTTTTTTCTTATAATTTTTAGTTAGTTTTTTAGGTAATTTTTTATTGTTGTGGAATTTTTTTACTTAATTGCCCTTATATTTTTCTCTGTTCTGTACTTTTAGTGACCTTACTGCTGTACTTCCCTAAGTCAGTATTGTGTCAATAAATATACTACAAGTATACATATTCTCTATAGAGGGACTGTGCACTACTATAGTATTTGAAGTTAACTAAATTTAAAGATAAAATAAAGTTTCCATGGTGAGTCGTAAAATCACTTTCATTGAGATTTTTAACAACGTCTACTCTGACTCATACCTGGGTGTGGTGTACACGTACTTTGGAACAGGACCATTATTTTGACCCGGTTTTTTAAGGCCTCTCGCCCATAACTAATATCCTGACCCTCCCTCTCCGGTGCCTCCATTTTGATTGTATATGCTCCCCATGGCAATGTATAGTTATCGGGGGGGGGGGCATATACACATTTGGGCTGGATTGTTAAGATTAGGGTTTAGATTAGGGACGGGGAACTATTCCCTTACTGGCACCATGGATCTAGAAAGGGACTCCATGCTAGCACCTAGTAACGGTAGCTACGGTAATTTTTCCTTTACGTTCTGTTACACAGTAGCTCGCAAGCTTCCTGTTCAGCTTAGTACACGTGTCGCACAATTATATTTCACACATAATAACAAAATGTAGACCATGTTGTGATATCTTGCGTAATAATAATAATGTTCATTTCAATGCAGGACGGTCGATTCGTCCCAAATCACATTCGTCCCAAGTCGATTCGTCCCACAAGTCGATTCGTCCCAAAGTCGATTCGTCCCACAAGTTAATTCGTCCCAAAGTCGATTCGTCCCACAAGTTGATTCGTCCCAAAGTCGATTCGTCCCACAAGTCGATTCGTCAGATTTAAGGTTAGCCCACTACTAACTCGCCAAATAAGCACAAACACATCCAAACAACGAACTGTTCACGTAAATGTCATGCACTGGCATGCGTAATTGTTCGTTGCGCCATTTTGTTTTTGCCGACGTTATATACAAATACACCTTACGTACAACGCTGAGTTATTAGTTAATAAATACAAATACACCTTACGTGCAACGTAGAGTTATTAGTTAATAAATACAAATACACCTTACGTGCAACGTAGAATTATTAGTTAATAAATACAAATACACCGTTCACGCAACGTGGAGTTATTAGTTAGCGTGTCAGTAACAGTTGGCATAAAAATTGACCCTGTTCAAGATCGTAATGCTGACTAAAAATTTAAAAAATGGACGAATGTGAATTGGGACGAATGTGAATTGGGACGAATCGACTCGTGGGACGAATGTGAATTGTGACGAATCGACTTGTGGGACGAAAGTGAATTGGGACGAATTGACTGTGAATCATTTCAATCACGGGGGTACCGAATATGGGGCGGTCATCATGGGAGTGGCCGGAATATTTGTTTAAAACAAATACTAGTAAGAGAAAATAAATTGAATTCAAAGTGTTGCAGGGAAAAGATGTTGGCACATTCAAGAAAAATAAAAATTTAGTGATAAGACAACAAGAAAGCAAAATTACACCGGTCACATTCTCCCAACCACCCCATGATTTAAGATGTTTGACCTCTAACACCATCGGTACTAAGACCATTAACGATTGTATTTCCGAATATAGCCCCAAGAAAAAAAAGGTAAGACACATACCTAACGAATTGCTGAGAACGCAAAAAAACTTTAAATGTTGTCAAATACGATGGAGATATATTATAACACACAATCTCGTGGTGCAGAGAAACACCAATCTTGTATCCGGTAAGCCAGTAAGGCAAGACCCACGCTACCCACTTAACACCTGAAACAATGTTAGGAGCGTTATTTGCATAACGCCCGAGTATGAATGGAGCGTGTGCGTGAGTGCAGTGTTGCGAATTAGAGCATGTGTGAGGTCGCCAAAGCCTCATTTGCATATCTACGTTCATTCGCGCGTGTGGCAGTTACGTTTCAAACCAGCCGAGCACGGCATTATTTCACACGTTTTAAACTTGAACTGGCTTTAATTCGGAGTTCCCAATACAAAGTTCCTGTGTTTATTTAGGATAATTGACATTCCAGCTTCAACGCAGACCACTTATTATGGATCGTTCATCCACAGTCCCTCAACACCAGGACTGTGGTTCATCAAAGTTAATATGATATTTGAGGTGGTTTTTGAAGGTCGGTATTTCTCTCTAGTGTCGAGATACACTCTATGACTCCCATTTTTAAAACAATTGATTGGAAATTAACCATACTTCGCCAACATGTGCATTGTATTTATATTTTATAAGTACAACACATTTTTGATTTTATAAGGCTTGTCCGAAGAATTTTCCACTGGCGAATGGGAAGTAACCCGAATTATGACCTATGACCTCAAAGCTTTCAATATTGCATTGAAACCCGGAAGCACGGTATATATATGTAATTACTGGGCGTGAACAGTTTTGTTTCGTTTTTACTTTAACTGTGTTCCATATAATGCTGAAACAATATTGTCTGTTGGAAAATGTGTGTAATGAAGCTGTATACTGGCAATTAAAATAAACCCTTGCCTGTGTTGCTTTCTTATAACATGAAATATGTTATAAAACACTGAAGAACCAGTTTGTTTTTGACTTATTTATTAATTAAAAACAAGGGTAATATTTTATTTGGCATGTATTTTACAATCCATTAACAAATAAATGTATGGAGAAATTAGGCAGCTTACAAACAAAATTAATTCAATACAAAATTGATAATTACAGCTCAGTTCAAAGTGCCCTCCACTGGATTCTTCATTGATCTGTCATGAATTCAAATATTCAGAGCCTCATAAGTTATAACATTATGCCAAGGAAAAATTGATTTTTTTCTGAAATTCTATTCTTTGGCTAATTCAATTCCTTTTTTATGCAAAAGAACTAAATTTTTTGTTATTCAACCCACCAATAGTTGCCAACGGGCATCATCGTCAATTCATGATAACCAACTTCTCTTTTCTCTTTTTAATAGTGACAGAAAACTTCAGTCTTCAGTTACACCCAAACTAACATGTTCATATAACATAATCGTGAATGAATACATGTACTTGGCATTATGTGTGTTAATATTTATGTGATATTGTTAATTTTGGAGATACAATAGCTGCAATTTAGAATAACCATGAATACAATAGAGGTAATTACCATATTACATTGCTATTCAAATTGGTCAATACTCTTACCGGATATGCTAAACAAACAGCTGTAAAAAGAGTCTTTTTTTTTTTTTACCTCCATTAGACAGGAATGAATGTGACAGCCTAAAAGTATCTTAGAAGAAAATACAATTAATTGTTTTCAGCAAAGATTCCAGAGAAATATTAGATACATAAGTCCTAGTAATTTAAGCTTCAAAAAAACTTTCTGGCCAAATTGTTTTTCAAAAAGAGACGTCCTTGATTTACTTATGTGCAGTGCCAAAACAACATTTGTATTTTAGACAGGTGAATCGAGTTTTACAGTTGCGCAAAGAGAAATCATTTCGCACAACAATGCATCTAAAAAAACAACGACCATCACCATGTATTTATCATAACTACCAAAAACAAGATCTTCTGCAGTATTATGCACAGTTTTAGGTTGAATCATTTGGTAAGAAGTACCATGAAAACCCCTTTGACCAACAACTGACCTCACTGCAGCATATTTTGAAGATTTGTCTATATTGTCAATGGATGTTATTGAGAATGCATTTCTTACTATACTGTCCTCCATAAATGTGTCAGATGATCTTTTATTAATTACTAACAACATGTAACGATGTAGTGAGTCCACTGAACAAATCATACCAAAACGATTCAATATTTTCACGAGTGTTTTTGATCCACTGTAACCTTCAACCATATCAGAAAGAGATATGTAATGGATAGATACATTGATCAGAACATGTAAAAAGAAGTAAACAGACAGAAAATAAACGTCTGAGAAATTGAGCCCTACTCTCCATTGAAGTTCTACGGTAAAAACCAAAATAATGCTTATCCCACTCAAAGTTGTTGCAATGAAGATGGTTGCATTCAGTTGTGTTAAGTGTGAAGTAAACAATGTTCCAAAGAATTGGATCAATTTCAAATACCACTTTTTCAAAATCAATTGAAGATAAATCAACAAAATTGCATTTTATATAATTTGAAAAATCAAGCGCCTGTTTATAAAATTCACTATTCAATTTCTCGGCAACCAAATCTATCATTTTGTAGAAGTCTACATCAACTTTACTCAATCCTCGAACTCTCGCTTCAAGTTTTTCTATTTGGCTCTGGAGAGATAAAACATTTTTATTATTTTCCCAGAGTGCATTGTGTAATGCAATAGTTAGAGGACTACCAGTCCTGTATAGAAGGGTAGATAATTTTTTGTTAATGCTTGATTTCAAGGAAACGTGTGAAGGACAGTAAATGCAGCTTATTTCTCGAAGCAGCCAGCTGTTAGTTCTGCTATAAGATTCTAAAGGCTCTATTTCACTGTTATTTAATTTGCACATTTCATAATTATTTTCTAATGTGATGATGAAAAAACGTTTAACATCCAGCAGCAATATTGCATGTTTATTGAGTAAAATTAATATCACCAACAAATGAAATAGTTTCATTCAATGCTAATGACAGCAAGTCACCACGACTACAATAATTTGAAACCATGATATTGTGCTGGTCAATAATTTCCCTTAGATAGTTTCATCACAGTCATTCTATAACCTGTCTGGCAACAGCTATTTATGTGTGAAACGACTTATCCCCTGGGAACATGGCGCATGAAATTCCGCGAATTATAGCTATACTAGATAGAGAAATAGTGACAGGGGGACTGTAATTTCGTTGTTACATAGTGTTTCGCCACGGTTACTCGTTTCTGGTTTGGTGAGCCAGTTAACCACAATGTAAACTGGTTTGGTGAGCCAGTTAACCACAATGTAAACTGGTTTGGTGAGCCAGTTAACCACAATGTAAACTGGTTTGGTGTCACAAACTCAGACATTTTGAGATCAAATTTTCGTGCAGTTAATCCTGTTTGGATGACGCACAAGATGTAGACTTGATCACAAGTTTGATTGATTTTATTAATTGATTTATTATTTTATTTTCATATTGAAATCGCTACACATCGAGATCAAAACTCACATTGGCAAGTACTTGCCACTGGGGGAGCGCATCGGGTTTGGGGTAAATCACTGTTTATCAACCATCGCCATTTTAATGCACACATACACTGCATGAATTGTAAATTCGTACTGTTACATATTACTACCGATAGTATAACAATTCACGTGAAATAGTCATGTACTTTGTAATTATCACCAGTTATAATGGAATAATGTATTGCCAAAGTTGCTGAATGTACCTGAGTGATGTAAATTCAAATCAACCAGAATGCTCCAGTTACAGGGCTTCGTGTATACGACTCAAGTTTCTTGTTTGAATCACGGTTACTAACTGCGTCTGAATTGATATCTATATTATCTTTGTTCTCATAAAGTATAACCTAAATACCCAATGACTTTTTAAGCCTTCTGTATGTTCTCATAAATTGCTTTACGACTTTTAACAAATAAGCAAATTTAAGACAGAAAAGCAGGTTAAGATGAATAAATATACTACTACATGTATTTATTAGTGAATATTCGCAGACAAAATGGATTAGCATACAGTCTTTTGTTTATTTGTTGGTGTTTTTTTTCAATAAAATAAAATATCATGGGAGTG